ACTCCCCTTCGCTGTTTTCCCTATTATATTTTTGTAATTAGGAGAAAAATTTCTGAGTTTTAACACTGACAAACCTATACTTACTGTTGTTTTCTGCCTTTTGGTGGGTAGTACTGTTTGATCCAAACCTCAAGCTAATTTTTGAGGTCCCAGTCATGAAAGAATTTGAGCATTTGCAGCTCCCACAAAAGTAACCTGATCATTCCTATATCCCTGTCAAAATCTAGTTAAATACATTTTCTTAAAAATCTCTATGTCTAAAAGAAGGGGAAGATTCACAGGAAAAAAGGAAAGGGACTAGAAATGAGCAGAGTTAAAGGATAAAGGAAAGCAAATGAAAAGGGATAAAATTAAAAGATTGCTTGCCATTTGTGAAGGAATCTCTATGGTTAGAAATAGTCTCAATCTTATTATCCTTCCACTGGAACCCATTATGTTTCCACACAAGAGAACTAACACATTAAGGACATTAATGCTCTTCTTGCGTGCTAGCTAGTTATTAGAGACTCACAGTAAGGAAGGTGATCAGAGAATACTTGTCACATGCCCAAACTACCCTAATTCAAGGAAACTGCCACCTCAGTGCATCATATGAGGCAGGTCAAGCCTAGGGTGAAGCAAGCTTTCTGTGTAAGAATTTTAATTAGCAATGAGCACAATAAAATACATAAGCTGCTGAAAGTTAACAAGTGCTACTGTTTGAGATTTATGTTCAAAGCCATGCTGTGCACTTCCCTTTCCTCACCGCCAGAATGGATTAGCAGTATACTGGATAGTAATCAACAAATATTACAATCATCCTTCTAATCTTATTAACAAACTTGTAAGAAGCATTAAGGACACATTTATACCACTTGTGGGAAACAGTCCAAATACAACGAACCAAAAGCTGCTTATCTGGAAGCAAAAACAGCATTATATGACTGAAGGGGGCCAAGTTAATCAGAGCTATCAAGAGACTAATTCAGGTCCAGAGGGCTGGGAAGGCAGATTAAGTGATCGTTCATAAAGTATTGAAAGCATACACTATACAGTATTGTAACAACACACAATGATCTTCTGTAGGGTGCAGTTTCCTGCTTTCTATATATCTGTGTTTTGACATTTTAAGTATCTCATCAGCATCTTTTTATCTGTAAGTTGTGAATATGTAGCAATAGCTTTATATGTCAGCTAGTCAATCATCAGACCTTTAGGAAGGAAGTGGATAGACTGTAAAAACAAACCTAAAAGTGTTCATATTTACAGGCAGCACTACTGTGCTTATTACAAGCATGTACAAAATATAAAAGATTATGATCCAAGATACTATGGAAGAAAACTGAGGAAAGCAACTGAGAGAATGTAAAAAATCAGCTTTATATATGCCTCAGGCTCCTTTGCTTTATAGGATGGAGCGGAGGGCACTGCTGGTTAATTTTTCACTTTTAAAATATTCTGTAGAAGTACTGGAATGTGCTGGTTTAGTGAGGAAAACAGCACGCTAAAGTGTAGGTTTATTCACTGACCCCACCATGGAACAACCTGTGTCTAGTCTTATGCCTTTCTTCTAGTAGGATTGAGACTATACACAGGCTATGGCTGACTCCTCTTGAGAATTGCCTTCCAAGGTCTTGGTTACCCATTTTTGAAAGTGGTTAAAACACTGCTCTTCAGCTGCTTGCTTTTTTCCCAATCAACAGTCCTAAAAAAGCCTTTTCCACTACTTATCAAAAGTAAAGGTTTTCTCCAGGGACTAGAGTTAATGGCAGTTGTTTCTGGTCTCACAAGACATGCAACATGCTCCAGTTGTCTGTACAACACCATCTTCCACGTTTCTAGTGCCTGATTTTCCATTGCTTTGTACTACATGTATTTTCTTACGTCAGCACATAGTGAGGGCAAAAGGCTGCCGTTGCAAAGCACTCTCTCTGGAAGCATGACACTGTGGGATAAAAGACAACACGACATATTGGGAAAAAGAGAATAGTCCTTTAATTACAATAATTAGATTATGCATGGTTTTGTTAATTTTTTCATAGAAAACAGAAGGGTCTTCAGGCTGGAAGAATAAGGCTGGATAGCATGAGAACATCAAACCAATTGAAGTCAACCGTTAAATTTGATAGCAGTGTCAAATCACACTTGTACAGATTTGTCCCCAACTGTCTGAGCAACATCATTTGTTCATTTTTGTGACTTCATGGACTTGTTGTTTTGTTCTCTTCACCTTTCCCTTTCTCTACTGAAAAACTTCACATATTCCATTTATAGCTCTAGGAAGGCGATTGCCTCAGTGCTCGCATAGTCCTTTGTTTTTTGGCATAGCATCAGACATAAACACTCATCTGGTTCTCATTTTCCCCCTAGGCTTTACCCAAATCTGCCTACTCTATTGCTCACATTTCCAGCTTGGTCCTATTATGTCCAAGATGCCAACTAGCAACAAAATTGCACAGCCACCTGGAGTTTAAAGTTAGTATTTTTTTGGTCATTCTAATTTCTCAGCATCTTGTCCGAGCTTCTGGTTTGCTCCCTAAGCTTCTCCCTAAGGTGCCTTAATTACATTCATCCTCAAAAAAGGATCACCCATCGCCATTTAAGCTTCAGGACTAAATTTTTACCACCACCTGTCCAAGATCTTGTTCTTACAAGACCACCTGCCTGGACTACCCACATTTGCTTCTTCAGGTTCAGACCCTTTTCTGTCAGCTGCTTTCTAAATCTGAGTTTTCACAACTACCTTTAAATAGCAAATGAAGTCCTTTGAAGATAGGTTGGTTGTTTCAAACACCTGTCCACACCCTCGTACATTAATTATGAGGCCTAATGGAACTCTTTGGTTTGGTATCATATGTCTCAGTTGTCAGAGTGGATTTATACATCTTAAGAATACTCAGTATGTTGCAATTCAATATCCACCAAAAAAATAGGGAGTGTGCTTTTCTACCTATGGGTTGTGGGGTTTTTTTGTGGGTGGTTTGTTGGGGGTTTTTTTTTGGTGTTTTTTTTTTTTTTTTTTTTCCCCCAGAGCAAAGCTGTGAGCAAGAAATTTGTCTGGGTGTGCAGCATCAGGTGCCAGTGATAACAAATAAACAAAGGAATGGGCAGAACAAAAATGGTCTCTCTAATTCATTCAACCTTTCATTTTTTTCTACTGTAAACAAAATCAACTACAGTCTTCGGTGAGAAGTACAGTCTGATGAGGGAGGAGGAAGGAAAGAAACCAAATACAGCTGTGGGAAGAGAGGTGTAGGGGTTACCAAGAGCTTGGTTATTCTTTCATATTTTGACCAATCTGGAATAGAGCTTTGAAGCATGAAGTTGCTTTGCTAAGCAAGTAAGCAGTTGAAAGAGTGAAATTCATAAACATTGATGAGACCATCTTCTTTAAACTGTATTGCGTTGAGATTGCCTTTCTGTGCCAGAATAAAAGATAAGTGTTTACTACAGAAATCCATGTGTCTTTTCACAGATGCACCCTAGTAATCTTAAATTCATTTTTCTATTCTACTCAACGTCACTCAGTTTTCAGTCTATATATTTTATAGAGAGTTTGGCTGCTTGGGGGAAAAAAAAAAAGTATTTTCTAGCCCGTGTTAAATTTTGTCAGTGGAGATAACTTAAGCGTTTTCACTGAATTCAGTGCTCTGCTGAATTGGGGCCGTGCCTTTGAATGATCCTAACTACAGGTATTTCTTTTTACTGGCAGGGTACAGGGAGGTGAATGAAACAACTCTGAAGCACAAAAGAGAACTCACAAGTGCTTATGAGGAGATAACACAGAGTTATTGGGTTCGTGAGGTGCAAGCACCCATGGTTCAACACTGCCTAGAGTGGTGAAACAGCAGCTCTAACTGGTGCTTCTGTCCCTCCATTCCAGTGGCACACTGGAAAGAACAGTGCTGTCTTTGGTTGGACACTGCTTTTTACAGAAGTGGCCAAGTGACTCCTCTTGTTTCCTTGTGCAGTGTTTAGAGCTGCCTTGTGTACATGGTTCTCTCCTGGGGTATTTGTGGTCTGTGTGAGGGCCTGGACACTGTTCTGGCGTATCTATACCAGGAACTAGGGGTGTCAGAAAACAACCAACTTCCTGTCAAGTGGACCACTGCATGAACACCAGCACACCTGCAACTCTGTGGTAATGTCTATGTATAAACTCTTACCACACCTTAAATATGAGGTGGCTTACTGTGAAAGAAAGCAATAAATGCTGGTTTCTTTTTACAAGCCAAAATGGTGGCAGATTAACAATGGTAGAAGTCACTTAAGAGAAGCTATCTAGTCTTCTGCTGTGGAGTAAAAATTTGTAGCTAATAACTGCAGAATAGGTCTTGTTTACATCTCTCTCTCTCTAATTCATAGTCACTTGTGTGACCATGCCCTCTTTTGTAGAGTTAATACGCTCTAATCATGCTGCTGTCATTTTAGAGGTGTAACTTTTTATTGGCATATTCTGCCTCTGCAATCGTTTTTCCTACGTATTGTAGACAAAGCTATGCTAGAACTGCCCTGCCAGTAGGAAAACCTTCTTTGTGCTAGGTCAGACAACTATAAACTATAAAACTAACTGAAAAAAAAAAAACCCTGGTAAAACACCTACCTATTATCCATGAAGTTTCAGCCTCTGTTATCTTTTTATTAAGAGCTTTCCCTAACCTACACAGTTAAACTTCAAAGCTAATAAAAAGGAGCTCACAGAAAACACACACTGATAAAGGAACACTCCTTGAAACCATTTAAAGACCAAGAGGCTTTACATGTTGCAAGATTTGGGGCTAATGCAAGGTGATCTCTCTCCTACTTTCTTTTGACCTGTTTCTCCCAGAAGATGATGTGACACTATTCTCACTCCCATCTCAGTAGCAGACCAGGAGGTCCAAATAACTCTACAACTGTTGATTCAAGAAGTGGTTATAGAGAAGAGCATTTCTCAGATATGAAAGACTGTAAGTGAATGTTCACTAGGACAGCTCTTCTGTTTAAGAATGCACTGGCTGAAATTGTTTTCTGCAGTTTACCTTTGCACCATTAAGAAATCCAAGGTCATGGCAATCAAACTTCCATCCATCACTTTAATCGCTTTTGAAGAATTCGGTGTGGTTAGTACCTGACTTAATCTGCAGACTAACAGTGATGCAGGCACCCAGTCTTGTTTGCTGCTGAAATCTACAGTTACCAGCTTCTTGAGAGAGATCGGGGACTGCATGATAGAAAGCTAGCCATCGTTTGGTGTTAGCTGAAAGACTCCAAGACTGTTGCTTTGATAGCTGAGACAGAGCAGCCAATTGCATACAATATTTCTCACTTCTAAAAACTTTCCATTCACTGAGAAGAAATGCTACAGGATACCAATTATATCCTACTTAGAAGAGGAATGAGTTCTTGAATTTCTGTCTGCATAAGTCCTAGAATTCAAGATCATTCCCAACTTAAATGATTTATCTAAAGAAAACTTCTAACTTACCAAGTCGGTGGATAGCATATTTTCCTTTCTTTTCTAAGTAATTATCCGACAAATCAAGTACATTCAGTTTTGGCAAATTACAAAGATTCTGAGCTATGGAAGGAAAAAAATGCTTGTTATATGTTTTCATGTATAGTCAGGCAGCATGACTTGTCTTTATTTCACCTTTCTTAGCTGTTTTTTAATGAACAGCAAGACAAGATTTTTAATAGCCTTGTTTTTCCTCACTCTTCTGATGCAAACTGTGCTATCTTCTTGTTAATTGTGTCTCTGGGAACTGAGAACCTGGCCAGCCGTAGGAGCTGGAATAGTGGTTCTGTGTAACCTACATTCTGGTGGCTGAAGGAAACCCCTGTGGTGATGAGACAGCTTCCCGAGTGCAACACAGAAGCAGGGCAAAACTCTCTGAATGCATCAGAGATTCTTTAGTGGTTTAAACCTTGGAGACTTCAACTTCCTGCTTCACAGAGCTGTCAATTTTTTTATTATGGTATAAAACGTACATTTTACAGCATCAGAGAACTGTCGAAGAGTGGGACTAGGTGGGACGTTAGAGTCTAAACACCTGTAATGGGGCAGGATACTGATAAGCCTAAACTATTCGTGATACATCTTAATGTATCTTGCTCTTTGAAATTTTCCATATTCTGCCTAGGTGCTATTTGCCTTCCTGGCTTCAGAAAGTTTCTGCCAACATCCAAACTAAATATTCTTTGCTGCAAATGTAACTACTTTCTTCTCCCAGAGGATAAGAAGAATGATTATCAACTCTTTGTACCAATGTTTAAAGAAAATAAAGATCTTACCAAATCTTTTTCAGACTTCTCTCTCAATCAAACCAAAAATAAAACATTCCTCGTAAATCACATTTTCTTAATCTCCAGCTGTTCTTGGTGCTCTCTCTCTTGATTTCTCTGCATCTTTCTTAATTATGATACCAAAGCTGGGTACAGATTTGTTGCTCAGGACACACCAGTGTATGTTTTTTGCAATAGCATAGTACTTTCAGTCTTCCATAGGAGACTGCTGCTTCTTCCCTGTTACACAGGTTAATATCCATTTTATATTCATGAAATTGATGTCTTGCTCCCAGCTAGAGCCCTTTCCATCTGTCTACACTCAATTCCCTAATGTTGTTTTTCGACCACCTCTTAAATGCATCCAATTTTATTGATGGTTTTGTATTCCAACAGATCTTGTAAGCTCAGTAGCATCTGAAATTTTATAAGCGTACCCTCCATTCTGTTATTTTAGCCATCAGTTAAAATATTGTTAGAATGAGGAGGGACTTAATTGATTATATCAAAATGCTGTCTCACTTAGTGAAACATTTGTGATAACACTTTGAAAGTAATTTTTTAACCAGTTGTGCACCCATTTTTTTTAGATGTCTTTCATTAGCTTCTTGTTAAGGAAGTTTATAGGGTAGTCTTAAAAACCTCACTCAGGTTATTATCCAGACCTCTCTTTTCTTTTCTTAATCTTAATTGCTCCATTCCGTGGAAAGGTTTGAAGTCATTTGTTCACGCTACCTTTCATCTCTATCATTTAAGTGCTTAAAAATGTTTGCATGATAATCTGTTTCAGAATTTTTCTTGGCATCATAGTGAGGTTGGCTTATCTATAATTTCCTCGTACAAGCAAAAGACAATGAATTTTCCACTTTCCTGCCTCCACAAATTTTCACACTGTTGTCTGTGGTTCAGTGATTCTTTCAGCTTGTTCCTTACATACTTAATGGTGAATTTCCCTAAGTTCTGCTAACCTGAGTTCATCTGTTAAATAATTAATTAGATAATTTTTATTTATCCTTATTTGTACTGCTTTGAACTTGTTATAATGATTTGATAGGTACCTAATCAGAATGAATCGTTTTGGTAATGACTGAAACAAAAATAACTTTGAAAACTAGTTTTGCTTTCATCATCCACTATTTGCTTTCCTATTTTGATTGTTTACACAGCTATGCAATAGTTTATCTTTCTCTTTTATATAAACTTTATACTTAGGATTTAGATAAAAGCTTTATATAAACTTTCCTTCCTGCATTTTATATCCCTGCTAACTGAAACTCATTGTGAACCTAAGTGTTTCTGATTTTATCCTTACACGGGTTTTTTTTTTCTTCCGTTATAGAATTATGTTTTGATTGCCAAAACACACATACTCAGCTTGTAAAGTTACTATTGCTGTTCTTACCTAGAATTTCCACAGCATCACTGGAGGTAGAGCAGTTGACTAGTTGGATTTCTTTAAGTTCACTTAGGTCGTCAGAGACTGATCTTACAACGGAGGTCATGCCATCCCCGATAGCTGTCAAATGATTCATGTATAGTGAGCGTAGCTTTCTCAGATTTCTGATACCTTCAGCTGTGAATGGAATGGAAAAGAAAAAAAAAAAAACAAACCAAAAAACCAGGTCACACTGCTAGGTGAACTGTTTTGGTATGTTTATAATGTCTTGACCACAGCAAATGGCTAGACAGAAGTAGTTGTTCACTGCCTGGTATACTACTACTACCTGTATTTTTATGCCATTAAATATATTATAAGCTTTCTTTGCAAAAAAAATTATAAACACAGCCTCGTGTTCAGTTGCTGTATCATGTAAACAATACAAATTGCCCCTTAGCCCAGAGAAAGTAACTCATAGAAGATGTGATCTTCCTGTGGAACAAATCCAGGAGAAGCATTCTTTACCACGCCATCAAAGAAAGGATGGGTAGACATATGAACTGCCATCTCCATTTCAGTTACTGGGTTGTGTGGCCCTGGCAAACATTATTCAAACTTTTCAGCCATGGTATCCAGTGACTGACCTTGCAGAAAGTCAGCAACAGGCCAGGGAAGGCAACTGTATCACCTCTGCAACCTCCTGACTTGCAGTTCATGCGGATCAGCCAGTCCTGGGATCGGTATGGTAGATCCATTTGACTACAGTATGCCTTACTAACTTGAATGGAGCACTCTAATACTTCATGACAGTCAGGATACAGAACATGTCAAGAATTCAGTGCAAATACGTAAGAAATTATTCTCTAGATGATAGCATTTTCAAGTCCTGGTAGCGTACAAACTTTACACCAACTTGTTAAAACATTCACATTCTCAGCACTATATATTTGATTATGGTGTGAAGTAGAAGAGAGGAAATTACCTGATTTTTTTGCATCACCTTCATCCATACTTATGTTGCCAAGTACAAGCCCTTCAGCATTCACAAGTTTCTTTATTCCATCAGTAAGTCCACCTGCCAAAAACCCCACCCAACAGATGTATTCAGCACGTTAATTTAATACAGGAACAAATGCATTTGTAGAACAGATACGCTTCAGTGATATTAGTTTCCAGGTTTATGTGAAAATACGAATGTCTAAAAGGGATGACCTAAGGAGAATTTGACAGAGGTCTGCAAAATAATGAGTGCATGGAAAATGTTGGGTAGAGACTGACTAGTTTTTTCTCTTGGTACAAGAACAAGAGGCCACCAATTGTCCGAAGCAAACATTAAGGACATAGTCCTTCACACCATTTGCGAAAGGAAGCTGCAGATAGAATAAGTTTACATGGGTTCAGAGGGAAGACAAACAAGAACTAGCGGAAACCCTTGGGGAGGACACTGAGTAAACAAATCCTAAGCACAAGAAACTGGTCTGAGCTTAAAAAAGGGTCTGTGAGATTATTAAGAAGAAAGTGTCCTAGATTCTTGCATTGCTCTTGCTCCTCCTTAGCCATCCACTTGTAGCTGCTATTGGAGACAATGAACCAAGGTAGACGGGCCCTTCCTCTGTGTTAGTATGGCTGTTTTTATTATATTCTTACGCTGTTCTCCCTAACACTCTTGGCATATGCGTACACACAGGAAAGAGAAATATTTTTTAAATTATTATTTAATAATGTCGTTTCAGATAATTATATGTCATGGAATGATAGAAAAATTCAGGTTAGGACTTCTGAGGTCATCTACTTTGATTTCCTGCTCAAAGCAGGGCTGATTCTAAAGTTAGATGAGGTTGCTCAGGGCCTTGTCCAGCTGAGTTTTGAAAATCTCCCAGGATAGTGTTTAAATGACTTCCAGATCCCTGTTGCAATGTTTGATCACAAAATAACAGTTTATGTCTAACTGGAACTTCTCTTATTTCAGGAACTTGAAATTGTTGACTCTTGCCCTTCAGTTGTGCACCTCTGAAAATCTCCATCTTTTCTATAACACCCTTAAGGTAGTGGAAGACTGCAATTAGTTTCCCCAATAGCCTTTTTTCTCCAGGCAAACTATGCTCAGTTCCTTTTGCTTCTCCTTGTGTATTAGGTGTTCCAGCTCCCTGGCCATGTCAGTGGTCCTCCATTGGACTCTAACCAGATTGTTAGTATCTCTTTTATACTAGGCAGCCCAAAAATGCACATAGTACTCCAGATTTGGCTTCAAGAGTGCAGAATAGAAGGGAATAACCACTTTCCCAGGGTACACTATTACTAATGCAGCCCACTGTGTGCTTAGTCATTATCAGTGCAAGAGTGTTTTGCTGACTCATGATTACCTGTCTCCAAGATCTGGAATGGCCACTACCTGCGTAGGTTTCTCAACGTAGGATACATACATGGATAGCCTGAATGATGGAAAGCTCAGAGCACAGTGCAGCAGCACTTGCACCAATCCTGCATTGGTGCCCTGCTCTAACAATAGTTTTGGGGGATCCTGTGTGTGTGTGATTCAGAGCATAAAGAAATACATGTCCCTCATCCTAATTGCAGAATCCTTCTCCCCAGGTATGTCTGGAGCATACTACACTATAGTTACTACACTCCTCTTTGTTACACCATTCTAATTTTAAGATAAAACAATTATTGAATCTAGAAGCATTTAATTAATTATTGGAATGACTTATCAAAGGATACTTTAGATTTTCCATCATATTAGGTATTAACATCAGAACTGGAGTCCTTTAAAAAAAAAGTGTTTACCCAGAACTTATGACAGGAACATAGGAAGCAATGAGGGAAAATTTCTGTCCAAAGTTACAAGTCTAGATTAGGCTACAACACTCTCATTTGGCTGCCAAAACTCATATGCATCTGTTGTGAGAACTAAGGTAAAGTGAAGGTATGCTGTATCCCATTTAACTAGCACATAGACGTGATCTCATTTCCTGTCGATTATTTGCACTCAAGTGGTTAAATTTTTCTCCCATCTGGTATTTTACTAAAAACTAGATTTTTTAACATATTCTGTCCCAAGAATAAGATGGAATAACAACTTAGAAGAATTCAAAGGCCTTTGTGTAGCAAGAACCAAGAATGTAATGAAATGGCAACTTAGAGGAATTCAAAGGCCAGAGCTGACTTAGACAAATAAATAATGTGAGTTGACATAACTGAGTAAACTGCAGTCACTTTCCCCATGATAATAGGATTGCATTCTAGCAATATAACATTTCTCAAACTGATCAAAACTAGACATATTCCATATACAAGATAGTCATGAGCCACTTTATTTTACCTTCCCATTCACATTTACCTAAAAGACCTCATTTACTGCCAGTAAATACTGTACCTTCTAGATTTTCACTTTGCAGAACTCTTATATGTAAGGTTTTCAGCTTTGTCATTCTTGTGAACTGTTGCTCATCTTCCACAGTAAGAGGTGTGGACTCCACAGTAAGTTCTTGCAAGTTTTTACAGGTTTCAAGGGCTTCATTCAGTGTTTCTGTGATACCAGCACTATCGCTGATGCACAGCTTGAGGCTTTCAGCTGAGCAACATGTTTTGCCCAGGTATTTAATATCACATTTCTTTAACTTGTTGAAATCTTGCAGTGTAATTTCTAAAGATCTGAGACTCTGGTTCCAGTTGAAGAATAAGGAGGCAGCCTTTTCAGGAATGTAAGTGTTAAGTGAACTAATTTGAAGATCTTCCACATTCTCATAATCTGTTTCCTTACTTGTCAAGTAATTTCCAAAAAAATCTAACTTAATGAGTCCTAGTACACTAACACAATTGGGCAAGTATTGAAAAAAATCAAAGAAATAAATTGGGATATTTTGAACATTAATGTAAATACTTCTTTCATAAAAAACTATTCAAAATCTCTGCTCAATACTGATTGTGATGGACTTTCATAGAATAAATTAATGACACAGTCTGCAAAAATATCCTTCTCGGTTTTCTTTCAATCTTCATTTTCTGTTATATTTCCTGTTTTTTTGGTGTAGTCTCCTTTCAAAGCCAGATTCTTTAATAAAAACAGTTGAGAAATATCTCTGTGCTGATCAGTTCTTTTCAGTAAGTCCAAAATTATTCTAGTGGCATCTAGAGAGGATCCACAAGTGTAGAGGAGCAAATTGAAATAAGTATTAGTAATATCTGAAATAGCATTAATTTTCTGTAGGTAACTATACCCTTTCTCCACCTCTGCTTCTTGGCCGGATGTCAGTTGTTTGCAAAGTTTTCTGCCCGCACTGTAGTCCTGAAATGATTTACAAAAGAATCTGTATGTTGGCTTTTGAGCTGTGTATTTTATTTATTCATAAGACCTGAAGCTAGCAGGACTTCTTCTTTTATGTCAGCTAAACCCTCAGACTGAAAATTGAATCTTTGATGCATCTAAAGCTAAGTCTCCACGATGATTTATGCTCAGCATAATATGATCTTCTGTTATTTCTTTTGTTTTGTACCTATTTTTCTTCACCATCAAGTCATACAAAGTAGAGAAAAGTAGAGTCTGGGTGCTTGGATAAAAATTACTTTCACTCATTTGGATGGCACAAGCCATGATGACAAAGAGTGGAGTTTTCATAAGGTTCTTCATAGAAGTGGCCTTTTTAAGCTGGTTTAACAGACCATCAGCCAGCTTATTCGTCAAGATGTTTTTAATGAGCTACTTGCAACTCTCCTCTGATAGGTCTCCTATTTCAGCTATCAGTGACCCAAACTGTCTAATTTTATGGATAGACTCAGTCCTGGTAGCAATAATAACCATGTTATTGAATTTGTGGTTTTCGTTTAGAATTGCTTCTATCTCTGGATAGTTGTGGGGTTTGAATTCATTGTATCAGTCTAAGAGGAAAAGGATGCTTTGTCTTTGTGCTAGTAGCATCTTCATGAAACCTTGTTTGCAGGTGGGGTATTATTGTTCAGAAAGAAGCTGATCACAGTCAGTCTCATATATTCCACCTCTTGTACTAGCCAGGCTGATCAAGAAAACAAATTGAAATGTTTTCAAAGCGGAGCAATTTTTGGAAGCCTGGACTACAGCAATTCTTTTTAGAAGAGTTGTTTTTACTTTCCCAGCTTCTCCTTCTATAATGCAGGAATTTTTCACTTCCTCCAGAAGGACATGTAGTGTCAGCTGCCCTTTCCTGCTCTTATGTATACCTTTTTTCCACAGCAAGATGTCAGTATAGGCAGTTCCCAAATCAAGAGTCATGTCAACAACACTACTCAGAGGATGGTATTTTTGAAAAACTGAAGATAGATACACACACTTTAAATCCCAAATCAAGTACTTTATCTTGTTCCACTTGCCTGATGGTACCTGAGGCAAGCAGATCATGTATCAGTGAATTAAATAGTCAGTGAGTTTGTCAATTAAAATTTCATTACTTTTGGAACAACTGCCTGAATGTACTTGCTAAATCAATGAAACAGCAGTAAGCACGAGGCATGAGAGGTCTTTATTGTCCACTGTCTAGGCGAGACTTAATCGATAAGGGCCATAGTTACTCCTTGTGCAGAAGGTTCACATGGTCTGCAAATACTACTCTGGCTCCACATAATTCCTTCTTGGGGGGCCTTTTGGACTCTACCTTATTTGTGCATTGGATTCCAAAAAGGTAGGCTTGCATACAAGCATATGGAAGTTTATATGTGCAAATGCATGAAGAGAGTACGATTTATGTAATAAGGTTTTAATATGGAAAGCCAGCATTTCTTTATCTATGAAATGAAGTAGAATATTAATGGAAAGATTTGTAAATCAGTAACAAGTTTTGACAGTCAGACTGAATGAACTTATAATCTAGTTCTTTCTTTTAACTATGTTTTTGCATTTTGGTTGATCTAAGAGTTGCTTTCACACAGTTTGGAGGTGAGCTGAGTTGAACCTTCCATGACAGGCATAATAAAATGTAGGAACATCTGGAAAGTCCGAAGCTTACAAAAAGCCAGCTTCCAAAGTGAGTCCTGGAAGGTTTGTATGCACTGCTTTTTAAAAAGCATGTAGGTAGACTAAGTCAAGATCAGACTTCTGAAGCAGGTAGAATAAATAGGCACAGTCCCACAAACTGTAGGAAATCGAGGAAACGTATTTTAGGGACATGCTTTGGTAACAAATGTCATGCCTCTCTGGGAGTGCTGAAAGATCAGCCTAGCTGGATGCATTACACTCATACGGTGAGATGGTCCTTTAACAACCTAACAAACTTGCAGCCTGTGCACAAGTAGTTTCAGCTTCCAGGGAAGAGGTTCCTATTTGGGAAACTCATTACCTATCCCCATTAAACTTTATATGAATTTTGTCCACAGAACTGATCTGATTCAGCATTCAGCTCACCCACAACTGATCATCAAGTGATGGGATAAACTGTCTGAACTTCAGCTATCTGATCACAGATGATTTTCACCCTCTCAGAATTTTTCGCTGGATTTGGGTTTCCCCTCTTTGTGTCTTAACGTTTGGAAAATTTATTAATGTTCACTGTCTTATTCTCTCAGATGAAACAATTCAGACCATAGAAATTGAATTAGAGTTTACTTAACTTAAGAATTCTAAGACTATTGTAAAAATTAGTGCATTGCAAGTTTTTAATGTTTTTTTCATGTTTGTTTGTTTTTTGTTTTTCTATAATAATTTAACTTCTGACAAGAAGGCAAAAATATAACCGGGAATACTTACAATATCCTTGCAGGTCATGAAAGAGAAAAGGGTTGTGTTTCTCAAGTGACTTAACCAAAATATTGCAGGTCATCTGCTGTTTGCTTGACAGTGATCATCCCCATTCTCTGAATGAGATGTGCTCTGTTGCTTTCTATCAATTCTGCTGAGAAGAGAGAATTCAGTTTCTTAGAATCAGTCCAGCTCATACAGTAGCTGACACATAAACAGTCCTTAAGTATTCAATGCACAGTTTTGTGGTGCACTGAGCAGCTAATATCTACACAGGTACAAATGGTAATCAGGAAATGGTGAGATCTTGGTAGGAATGTAGAAGTTTATAAACGTTTCTGTGAATGGTAAAAAAAGATTCAGTATGGAATGTATCAGTATGGGTATGAAAGTCACATGACATGTCTGAGATGTCGATTGGCATCGCAGAAACATTAAAATTTTCAATGGAAATTGCTTTTGAAAATTATATTATTTGCTGGTAAGTCTAAATATGGGATCATATTTCTGGATCTTGGCAAGTTCATGCGGGTCTTAACAAACATAATTTGATTCTTCAAACAAAACATGTGTGAAATACTTAAACATTATTATGCTCATTTTAAGATTAAAGAAGTCAAACGAGTTACACTTAATGCCCAAGCTCATAGGCAGTCCTGAACATATCCCAGGATGAAAACATCCCCGAACAGGCTTCTGTACGCCATGGTTGGGATGGCAAAGAATCAGTGTTGGGGCACACGAGCACTCCTAATCAGAAGGAGTTTATGTATGATATTTATCTGTGTGTAGCTTGGAGAAATGCACAGATTCTCAGCTCCCAAGCTAGGCAACAAGTGCCTGTATCTGGCCAAAATTATTTTTGAATAGCCAGCTGAAGGTAGGTAACAGCACTGGGCAGGCAGTAAGGAGATAGAAGACATGATTGGAATGAGGTGGGGCTCCGGCTTGATGTTGGTAAAGTGGAGTCATCAGGGACAGCCCCATTTCTGCTGGGCCGTTCTGTTCTTTCTCTTCCACAAAATCCAAGAGGGGTTTGAGATATAAACACAGTAACTAGGGCAGTCACAGGAAGGTCTTTCGTGGGAAGGTGTGTATGTGCCACAAGTACTTCTCCAGAAAGAGCTGCATTAGGAGAATTTTACATTTTTTTGCAGATTAGCAATAATCATGTGGAATTTTAAAATAAATGTTGGGGGCATTGATTTACCTGCACATGTCAAAGTAAAACTGGACTATTGTTCCTCTAAGTTTTTTAGACCTTGAATATTGCAGTAAATAAGACTTTTTTTCAGGGATAATTTTATAAAAATAAAACATCTGTGTAGTTTTGGGAAAAGGGAGAAGGTGGTCTTTACAAGTCTGAAATTATCTGCAATATTTTGGAATAAGTCATAGAAATGACTACCAGATAGCTAACACGAGAAGTATCCAGTTCAGAAAAATAGTCAGAAAAAATTATTAACCCAAAATTTTCTATCTGTAGTATGTTAAAATAGAGATTTTTTTAAATTAAAATTCTTTGTCAAGGCTACCTTTAAAATAATTTTAGAGCAAGACATTTTACAGTGTTAATTAGTAGTCATATAACTAGAACATAAATATAGCAATTATAATGGTTTGGTTTTTTTAAAACATTTTCTTTTTAAGGTTATTTAATTTTTTAATTACTATTTACATCTAACATTAAACACAAAGAAACTTTAGTTTATAAATCTTACTTGTTCAGACTGGAAGTTTCAATGCTTGAACTGTGGAATAGTGAATTTAATATCCAGACTGAAAACCAAAACAAATCAAATCAAAATATTGAATACTCTAGATATCACTGTCATTTTCCTAGACCAGAAAAAAATTATCTTTCATGAAATGCTGATATGAAACTAGTCACATATAAAAATATTCTCCCTAGGCGAGTTGACTAATATTACTTTGATTTTGT